ATCCTTACGGGAGTAGAAAGCCTCATCTTTCTCCCGCGGAGCGGCTGGTAGTTTCGAACCGCTGACCTTAAGGTTCGCAGTCCGATTCGTAACCACTACGCTACCAGAGCTCCTTATATATAGTTTTAATTTGTCTTATCAAACACATGGATCATTATTGAAGTTCTGAAGTTACATGCTTAACACTGTGCTCTGATTTTGTGTTTGTGGAGCATCAGGTTGGCCTAACTTCTGTGATACTCAATCCCTGGGTACAACCTACCACTTCAGGAGTTGATGGAAATCCACTGCATGGTGATTAGCTCCTCAGTCAGTAAAGACCCGCCCTCAAAGGGAAGCAATTGCAATGATGCAAGCTGGTACACTTCCATTGTTTTTAGTACAAAACTATTACCCAGAGGAAGACACCTTATTAATGATGCGTCTTCTAAAACATGGTTTCTAAACAGCTGTCAGATTAAGGTGACAATATAGTCAGATGGTTTGAAATGATTTCTTAAACAGCTTTCCTGGCTGCTTTTTGGTAGTCTTTCCCATTTAGAGGAAATTCAAATCACTCAGTAAACCACAAATGTTTCCTATATAAGTTCTTTAACACTTAACATATCTATTTTAAATTTCTCTTTAAAATTACAAAACAGTCTATTGTTGGATGTTAAGTGTTATCAAAACAATTTCCCAATAAGTGATAGGATTATTTGCTGCCTCTGTAAGCCCTGATTTGCTTGCCTCTACAGTTGGAACAATGAAGTTGGAGCACTTACATGTCATGATTTCTAGCTTTTTTGTACAAGAAGCAACACATGAATAAATCCTGGATGGAGTCAGCCCTTTGGTCTCTCTGATGTGAACCTAGACTCTGAAGATTCTTCTACCTTCTACCTACTGTGCCCATTAGACTACTGCCCAGATTCTCAGAAGTCACAGAGAGGACCCCAGACTGTGTTTGGAGGTAATTTTAAATGTTACTAAAGTGTGAAACGTGTTCTTATTAATTTGAGTTTTTATTTTGAAATTCTCTTAAAATGCATTAATAATTCACCTGTTTGTCTTATGTGTTTACACAGATATAATCTCAGGGTGAGAAGCTTAAAGCTTCCAACCTTTTATGTTTAGCTTTGTTTACTTTGATTCCCGTTGGCACAATATCAAAACTTAGGCTTCTGTTTTTTGGCCTCTAACTACCAGCTGCTTTCTACTCCCGTAAAGATTTACACCCTCGGAAATCCTGTACAGGGTCGCTATGGGTCGGAACCGACTCGACGGCACTTAACAACAACAACAACAACAACAAGCACACATGAAAATCAGCAAATAAAAGAAAGTGTATTTGTGCTTTAGATTTCTGGTGTGGCTCTGTAGGATCAAAACTGGATGGCAAACCATAATGTTAACAGTTCAAACCCTCCAGCAGCTCCTCAGAAACCCGATCCAGGATTGCTGTGAGTCTGAATGGATTCTCTGGCACTTAACAACACCATATATGTTTCAGAGATATGCTTGTAGAAAGGAAAGGGATGGGAATACTTGGTATGATGAGGACAGTTTTAGAAAATGTTTCTGTTTCTATGCTTTCATTCTATTCTGTTCTCTCTATTATATATTGAAATACAAGTACAAACTTACATCATTGAACTATATGCACTTTAATATGTGTATATATCCATTTCTGTTTGGTCCATGCTGACAAATAGTGACCCTATAGGAGAGAGTAGAACTGCCCCATAGGGTTTCCTAAGCTGTATTCTGTAAGGTAGCAAACTGTCATGTTCCCTTGGAGTCATTTGGTGGGTTCTACTGCCTCAGCTATGAGTCAGCAGTCCAGGGTTTAGCTATTTATAATGTGTTCATCATGAGTTGATATTGACTTGTTACCAATGTCTATTTTAGGATCTTGTAAAAGTTTATTTTGTGATTAGCTCTTCATTTTGATAAAATTTCAGACTTGAACAAAATTATAAAATAGTACTAGAATTCCAGTATGTCCCTTAACCAAGTTCTCCAAAGGTAAGCATTTTACACCATTTATTTTATCATTGTCTCTGTTAGCCTTTCTCTCATACATATAGAGTCTTAGTGTGGTGCTGTAGGATAAGCACTAGACTGCTAACCACACAGGTGGTTGTTCAAACATACCACCTGCTATTTAGAAACCCTTTACAAGGTTGCTATAAGTCAGAAGAGATTTGATGAAACCAGGCTCATAGCAACCACAACAACCCATCAGTGGAGTCCTAGCATGACATTGTAGGATAAGCACTAGACTGCTACTGCAAAGTCTACTGTTCAAACCCATCAGAGGCTCCTTGGAAACCCTATCGTGTGGAGTCCGTTCTGACTCATAGCGACCCTATATATGGTTTCTGAGGAAAAGCTTATGGGTTTGAACCACCAATCTTTATGGTTACGGCTCCAGCACTTTTCTTACAGCACTGACCAGAACGTCTTACTTGTTGTTGTTAACTGTCATCTCTGTTAGTTGGAACCCACATGGTAAACTCAAAAATGAGAATCTTAAATATATAGAGCTCAGGTGTCACTGTAGGATAAGCACTGCACCGCCAACCACTAGGTCAGCATGTTAAACCCACCAGCTGCTCTGCAGGAGATGAATGAGGCTTTCTGCTCCCACGAATATTTACAACTTTAGAAACTATATAAGATCACAATAGGTCAGAATCAAATTGATGGCTTGAGCTTGTATTTTTGAGAAGCTTCAGTATTTTGTCTGTACTGAAGAAATACCTAATAGGATGTCCTACTGCCCAAGACATAGTAAGAACTCACTGAGTGTTAGAGATATGGGATATGTGAATTGTAGCGATATGATATTAACTGGACCAATAAGCAATAACATGATCAAAGAGAATAGATTGATCCCAAGGATTTAATCTATTGGGTTCCAAAATCACCTCCCAAGGATTAAATCTATTGGGTTCCAAAATCACCTCCCATGGAAGTAGAAGCCATGCTGCAAATGACTTATTTTAAGTGTTAAAAAGCAAAGATGACCCTGTAAGGCTAAGGTGTGCTTAGTCAATTCATGGTATTTTCAATCACTTCATATGCATGCAAAATTGTACTATTAATAAGGAAGACTGAAGAATTGATGTCTTTGAAATATGGTGTTGCAAAGAATATTGAATATACCATGGACTATCAGAAGAATGAACAAATCTGTTTTGAAAGACATACAGGCAGGGAACAGTCAATGGAAAAGAGCATCACACTTGGTAAAGCAGATGGTCATTTTAAAGGACAAAACTCCTTAACTATATAGATTGACTCAGTGGCTCTAACAATATGTGTAAACATAACAATTGTGAGGCTGGCACAGGACTGGGTAGAATTTCATTCTCTTGTATTTAGGGTTGCTTTGATTCTGAACTGACTTAACAATAGCAACAATAACAATAATTTTAAACAAACCAACACGAAACCAATTTGAAAAAGAAGCAAGAAATATAGATGAAAGGAGCAGAGGCTAGACCTTAGTAAGTAGAGAGCCCTTGGAATGTGACCTCTCTGTCTTGTAAGCTTTCCAACTAGCACATTATGGAGTCACGCTGTGGTGCCTTAAAATGACCAGCACTAGAATCTGTCCTCAAATTCTATTTGAGCCACAAGGTCGGTGGTTCAAGCTTCCCAGCTGCTCACCGGAAACCCTATACAGTGTCACTATGAATCAGAACCAAGTCAATAACACTTAACAGCAGCAACAACAACACAAATACATTAAATAGGTAACAATTCACATGAAAATTTTCAAGGTCTTGGGTGTGTCTATATAAAGGTCATCATCCTAGTATGGTTGTCAAGAAGCAGAGGCTAAGACACTTGGTAGTTTATTTTTTGAGACAGAATGGAGGAACTGGGATAGTGAAACAGGAAAGGAAAGGATGTTAACTCAAGATTGTGTTAAGTTGGTTATCCACAGGCTCCAGTATCATTTTGGTCAAAGTTTTCCCTGTAGGATGTGGACACACTCACAGTTCCAAGTGTATTTGCATCAGGATGATGTAGCAGGGTCTCTGAACTATACAAGCAGCAAGTTTACCAGCAAAAAGCAAGAAATGTGTTTGTGAGAGGAGGTGTTGAGGGAGTCTGTAGGGTCAAGCTACTGTGAGGTTATAATTGTGAACAGCTGGTTTGAGGAAAAGATAGGACACACGGTGAGACCAGGAATAAAAAATGCCTGACACAACAAGTGTTTATCAGTTAAAAGTACTATAAGTTTTTCATGTCTTATGTCCTTTAACATGAACTATGAAATACCTAGAATAGACAAATATACGAAGATCAGTTTAATAGTAGTTTCCAGGAGTAGACAAGAGGGAGAAAAGGGAAATTATTACTTAAGAAGCATTGAGGAGTTCCTGTTATGGTGATTAAAAATTTGACATGAATATTAATGAAGATTGTACTTGATTGATATAACAGGCCTCACTGAATTGTAAATGTCAAAAATATTGAATTAGCAAGTGTTGCATTAACAATATTTTTACATGTGAAAATATTATTCTTGCAGATTTTCCCAATCATAGATATATGCTTTCATCGGCCTACAGTAAATGGAAAAGCAAAAAAATGTGACTGAATTCATTCTTTTGGGTCTTACACAGAATCCACAGCTGAGGAAAATACTCTCTGCTGTATTTCTGATCATGTATGTGGCCAC